TTGATATCAATTTTAAAATAGAAGCGATGTAGTCGATTCATCTCGTATTATTTTCCATATTACCCCTACTCACAGCTACTTCCCCTCTTGCGTTTTCCGTGTTTCTCCTATTATTCATCAGTTTACACGTGACCGCGCATGCGTAGAATGAAAATGTCGCGATGAGCATGAATCGTTCGTCGGAATTAAGCGTGTGCACAACTATGTAATTTCTATTCTGCGCATGCGTGATCATGCGGCGAGCGCAATGTTGTGCGAGGGCGAAGCGCGGGGAAAGGGGAAACGGTTAAGAATAGAATGCGAAATGTACGAAGAAAGTCGAACAGACTGTGGACTCGGCTGTATAAACATTGCGTTATTGTGGAACAAGTTTGGACAGTGGAATTCAAAAATTATCGCAAATTTTCTGGGAGAGAGACGCGTCGCGGTGTGTCATTCATGACGCTATCACGCAGTGAAACGGGAAACGGTCGCTAAACCACCACGGCAGCAGAAAATACAGTGGAACAGAACAGGATTGTGAGACACGCCTGATTGAGCGACGCTCGCCTGTGATCAGAAACAGGTTAGCGTCCAACCAAATATCATCTCAATCCTGTGTTTATCTTCGAGTCTCATAAATAGAGAGGAGTCATCACGTCGAATACGTTCCCGAAGATAGCCGAACGATACTCTGGATCCCCAAAAGCCATTTCCAAAAGAAAAGTCAAACACATCCCAAATGACAGTAAGTAAACTAACAGGAGTGATCGAATTACATAACGAATAATCACCTGCTTTACATCAGATTAGTATAGGCGAGTCTTAATTCATCGATTAATAACTCGCATTGTGCGCAAATGCAACTTTGCTCTATAAAAACAGCATTTGCGCATTACGCGATTAATCAATCGATGAATTAAAAGAACTCGTCTTATATATCAAAAGCTATTGTACACGAATTATTTAAAAATTTATACAAACATTTTAAACGTTCATCACGATTATTATTTCACGATTAAATGTTCATTTCTTCAATGTAGATTAATATTAATCTTAGTTTAATTTATTCTGTTTTTTTTTAATTTATAAAATTAAAAAAAGGTAAGCTAAATCAAGATTAAAGTTAATCTATATTGATAAAAGTAAAGATAAAATAGACTTGACAGTACTGCCGTGTTATTTAACAGAATATGCATTATTTTATTAGATTATTATTTTAATTATTTTATTATATCATTGCACTTATATATTTTATATGCAGTTTTTGGTGTATAATAATCTAATAATATAATGCCAGCGATCAAATTTATACATTTTGCTAAAAATGTAATATTATCGATATTAAGATATTTCAAAAGAATTTTATTATTTTTTTCTTTATATATTTGTTTTTCAGAATACAATGGGTGGAACTCACTTATGTACACCACAGTCCATCTTTCAACAAATGATGAATCAACAGAATCCACAGCAACAGCAACAGGTTGGACCCTGGATGCAAATACCACAAGTGCCACCGATAACTATGCCATGGAGTGTACCAGCGTTGCAACAGTCGGAATTAGTTAGGTTTACTGGAGAGACCAGTTCTGGACCAATACTCCATCAGAAAAGAAAGCTGGAAGCACCTGATGTTGTAGATATGTAAGTACTTGATTGCTTTATATATATATAAATAATCTAATGCAACAACATAACAATGATGTTTATTTCAAATAGGCGTCAAACGAAGCAGTTCATAACAGAGGAAAAGATAACTGCACATTTCAAAGATCTGCACATTAGTTCTAATCGTGAATCTGAGAACTCGGTACCATCAACTTCCACTGCTCACATATCAACTTCCTGTCATAAGCAATTGGATATGGATCTGGATGTTGATGCGACAAACGCAATACATAATGAGCAAAGAAGTGACTTACATCCGAGATTGGTTCTTTCAGAAGAACTCAAGCGAATGCAAGACGAACCTATTCTACCAACGACTCTTATATCTAAATTGTATGAATTATTTATTAATTATATAATTTGATAAAAATACAATATTTTGTATTTATAAGAAAGAATAAAAAAAGATAAGTATATATTTTACTATGAAATTAAAGCTGGCTTATTTTTTTTCTTTATTTTAGAGAGAGACCTTCTATGGCTCTGGTTCTTTGGGAACCACCAAATAGGCATCTTCGCATACTTCCAACGAGAGATACTCCAACGCCAATTCCAAATACATCCGACAATAATAATAACAACAATAATAACGATACTATTCCCGATCTAAATAATGTATTATCCAATACTACATCAACGTTCGAGCCAATGGAATTATGAGAATCTCTGGTTAGTACAGTACGTTTTATCTACACATCCATTTAAAATGAAAGAATATAAATATTGTATTCTGAATTGGAAAAAAGTTTCAATAATCTGCAAGATAACATACACACAAGTAGAATAAGGGATGAAACATGCTTAGCGATTTCTTCTATTGTATAATAATAATTTGAGTGATACACATGCAAATTTGACACATTTGCCTTTGATATATTATTTTTATTCAATAATTATAAAATATCATTTCATTGTACTTTGTCATGAGCTATTTAAAAATAGTATCTTTCTTATATTGTATGTATTCTTTATCGTGTGTTGTTTTCTTATAATTTCTTATTTATATATTATTTCTGTAATAAGAGTGAAGGAAATTATTGTTACAAAGAAAAATAACAAGATATATAATTATTATATTTACTGAAATAATGGTTAAACTCCTGAATTTTTAATTCTATACATTTTATAATAAAACAATATTAGAAAGTTATGATAAAATTGATTTCATCTATTCTGAGATTACTGAAATTAAGCATCTTTTTTATTAAAGATATTTCCTTAATCTTTAGTCTTATTCTAATGTTATAAATACAGAATAAAAACATTCTTTTTTTTTCATAATCGTGAAAAAAATAATTAATCTAATAAATTAATCTTAATTTAGAGAAAAATTGGCGATTTTCAGAAGTTCTTAGGATAGAAAATTAATTATATATCATAATTTTTCAGTTTATATTTTGCATGTAATGCTGAAAGAGAGAGAAAAAGGGAAAGTAAAGCGAGTAAAAGTTGGTTATTAAAATACGAGATAATGATGATATAATGAGCGTTTATTGTGAATAATTGGGTATATCTATGTATTAGTTTTGCATTAAAATACAATGATGAAATAATGAAAACGGATTTTTAATTTTTTTTTCCAATACTAGAAGTAAGCCTACAATTTCATTACTAATGATTTTATTTACTGAACTTTATAAATAAATTCCAAATATATTTTTTTATAAATTTTTTTTAATTTTAGGGAGTATGCTTATATTATACAGGATATCTCTAAAGTCTGGTCCAGATCCTATAATCTTCATTGTTTTTGAACAGCAATTATGCGTTTTCAATTGATTCACCTCTATGCATGAAAATATTAAATATTGCATTAACCTAATGTGAAAATATTAAATATTGCATTAACCTAATGATCGATGTTTTTTAAATGGAATCCCCATGTTTTATTGCATATTCTTGTAGCTCTCGACAGCTTTTTAAAACGCTATAATAAAATATTTTTTCATTAAGTATTTTCTGAGTTGTGAGATTTGAATTTGACATATAATTTGATATAAAATATCTCATGAACTATTCATTTCTTAGCAATTATATTTTAATACTCTCATGCAGAATAATGAGGTGAATCAATTGGTGTAAAAAAAAAAAACACATAATTGTTGTTCAAAAACGATGAAGATTTACAATATGCAATTTATGATGTATCCTACAACTTTTATGTAGTACTGAAATATTTTTTTCTAAAACCGTTTCCGAGATACAGAGTTCGGATAAGACTTTAGAGACACTCTGTATAACTAATTAGCTCTTTAAATTAACTTTTGTGAATTCCACTATGCATTCGAATGCATTCAACAAATATGACATCCCATTTTTAAATATATAATTTAATTTGTGATTAATTATATTTAATAAATCTATTTTTAATCAATATGAATAAAAAGATATCTGAAAGATATATTTATAGTAGCACGGTCCATGTATCGTATTTCTTAAAATGTGAGAACATTCAAAATATAAAGTTGTAAAGACGATTAATCGAATCGACAAAAATATAAGAATATTTTTATTTACATTTTTAGAATTTAATATTAATTTTATATATCTTATATTAATGATGATTTTATTCTGTAGATATGAAGATTAAATTATCTATAGATTTTTCGACTTTAAATATACTTTTGAACTAAGGCTATATATTAATATATACGATTAATATTTGAATTATTCGAATTAATTATTATTTAATTATTTAAATCTAGATACACAAAATACTTGAATGATCCGAATTATTCAAATCTAAATATTCAAAATACTCAAATAATTCGAATTATCCGATTTATACGAATATTGGCAAATGCAGATCGTATCTATTATAATTTAAACTTAATAAAAAATATGCATATACATGTATATATTGTATGTACAATTGTATATATATGTACAATTATTTATACACATATATATATATATATATATATATATATATATATATAATATTATAATAATATATATAATAATTATTATATTATTTATTTATATATATATTATTATATATAATTATATATATATATAATATATGTATATTATATACACACACACACACACACACACACACACACACACACACACACACACACACACACACACACACACACACACACACACACACACACACACACAGTAGATATAATTTTAAGTTAAATGTATACTACAGACTCTCATTTATTTCACTGTTAGATGGCTTATCTATTGAAAGTTTTCTTTAGCTTTTATCAAATCTCCATTAATTGCCAATATAACTTTGTCACTATCTAACATTGTGATATGATTACCTTCAACGTAATGCACTTCTATTTTATCTCGCGTGATCTGAAAAGTTTTTGATATTACGTTATTAGATATCGATTATAAAAAATTAAAACTGCAAATATATAAATAAAATATATAGAAGAGATACGATACTTTGTGTAAACCATAATCCTCTTCGACTTCGTGAACAGATGATAGCGTGGGTTTTAAAAGTATTATGGAGGCTCGTATCTTTTCCAAGGATGACGTGTCGTATTTTTTAAGAGCAAGGATACGTTTATAAATAGTTGTACACAACATTTTTTGATTCTCGATAGAAAGCGCGACATCATTGGAAAGAATATGTGAGATAAAAACATCCAATTTTTCTTCCCAAGTAATGCATTTTTCAAGATCTAAAAGCAACTACAAAAAGAAAATAAATGAGATGTTACACAGGAGGATCAGGAAACAACAAAAAGATATTTTACCGGTTGAGTGAAATTTACCTTTCCGCTCAAGGCTGATTGTGCAATATCCATGATGCTGAGCAAGATATTATTTTGAAGTTCGTTCTCTGTAGTAGAAGGGATAAATTGTTCTATCATTGCTTTCATTTGTTCAAAAGCACCATCAATCAATACTAATCGGCCATCCAAGCCACGTTTTTCCAATCGTCTCGCTAACTCGATGGCGATTAACGAGCCATACGAATATCCGACTAGAATGAAACTTCCTTGGTTTTTCACCTTTGGTAAAATGTACTAAAAATCCCAATGAAATATATATTAGATCGCGCGAGAACATTTCTTAGTTTCTTATTTAGACGAGAACGTTTGTTAAAAGAAGTATGAATATCTCATTTTATTTATCACACATTCGGCCATGTGTACTTACTGGTAAAAGATAATCGGCATACTCCGGTATAGACGCAAGAGTAGATCCGATATTTAATATTCCATATTGCAAAGCCGTTGCGATAGATCTAATTTTCGGTGCCAGTGAATTAAATATCTGACCACAGCCCTGTATACCGGGCAAAAGAAACACTTCGACTTTACGCGAGTTTATCATAGTTTTTAATTGCATACAGACTTCAGAAGTCAGATCTTCGTTACGCAAAACTCGAATTAACAGTTGCATTCCGGATATTTCGACCGTCTGTTTCTCGGTTTCTCGAGTCTGTGCGTTGTCCTGTTCCATGTTCTTAACGCGCATCTCCGCTAATTTGGCAAAGTTGAGATTGCGGATATCCTGTGCGGTGAGGAAGATATCGTATTCGCGTTCTAGGGTTTGTTTAATTTCTATAGTCATCATCGAGTCCATGCCAAGTTCAACCAACGATGCTTGCTGAGACACAATCTTCAAATTTTTGAAACCTGCGAAAGCAGCAAAAAATTGTAATTGAACTTTCCCTCTGATTTTCTTCTATGAGATAATCTTGTTGTATAAAATAACTAAGTCCTACCCATTATATCCGCTACGGTATTGACAACGAGCTTATTATCATGCGTATTTACATGTTTCTCAGCCACTATCATGCTAGCTACCACCGGGCGATCTTGCAATAAAAAGTCCTCCAGTTTCTCAAGACAGGAAGATATCTTTTGCTGCAGATTACCAATAACAACGATTTCCTTGTTGCTATCTTGCCAGTTGGCAAGTATGCCAACTTCACCTATCACGCCCCATTGAATAGCCAGTCCTGGTAAACCGTCCATCACTCTGCATTCGCAAATTCTCTCCATCACCGAGTTAGCCATACCGTAATTCGTTTGTCCGGCATTTCCTCGACCACAAACGATCGAAGAGAAGACTACGAATTGCCGAAGTTGCGGGCACAATTTTCTGGATAATTCATCCAACGTCTTCGTAGCCCAAGCTTTAGCTCTGAGAGACTCCCCGAACGACTCCGCCGTTTGATTTTTGCAGATGCTATCCTTCAGCTCCCCGGCAAGATTGAAGATAGCTTCCACCGGGCCCTGCTCCTCCGCGGATTTCAGTATGAATTCGCAATCCTTGCGATTCGAGGCGTCGGAGCCCACGATAATAAGTACGTTTACGCCATAAGATTTCCACAGTTCGACCTTCATGCGCTGATAACCGTTCTTTATTCCTGTTCTTGACGTCAACACCACGTTTCTAGCGCCTCGGAGTATCAACCAATCTGCTAGTTCTAATCCAAAACCACCCAATCCGCCCAAAATGAGATAGGTTTTTTTACTATCGCAGTAATATCGAGGATGCGCGAGAATTTTTCCAAAGTTCTTCTCATCGGAAATTTTCAAGATTACCTATGAAAAATATATAACTCAAGGAGAATCTTGTGATTAGAAGCAAAAATAAAAAATTCAGAAATATTCAAAATATCACTACATTTAACTGTGTACATAAGGTGATTGGCGATTAGCCAAAATATTTTCTGTTATACAAAAAGGAGCACTTAAAATAAAGATTACTTAAGTAGGTAAAATAAAAAAAATACTTAAAGATTTATAAAAATTATACATTTTTTGATTGTGTTTTATTGTAATTGTATATTTTAAGTATTGATAGCATTCATGACGAGATTATGTACCATTGAAAATTTTCCTTACCTTGCCTATATGTTTTCCAGTCGTCATATATTTGAAAGCCATCTCTAATTCGTTTTTGTCAAAGATTGTTCTAACAAGCGGTTTAATAGCTCCATTCTTAAGGCCCTCGGCTACCATGTTATGCAGTTGCACCTTATCTTCGACATTTGTAGAACTAATTAAATTATCGATAAAAATTCCGTGAAAGCTAGTTTCTTTCAAAAAGATCATCATTCCTAAGGAATTGTTTGCGGTGAGATCATGTTTGCCGATTTCTAGAAAACGACCACCGTGCGCCAAACAACGAACCGATGCTTGAAGTTTCTCCTCGGCCAATGAGTTCAAGACAATATCTACCCCGACACCGTTTGTTCGTTGAAGTATCATCTGCTCGAAGCTAGTGTTGCGTGAATTACCGATATGATCGTCCGGAATCGATGGGAACATCTTTCGAATAAACTCACGTTTTTCAGACGTTCCTACGGTGGTGAACACCTCGCAGCCTTCATTAAGAGCGAGATGTATCGCTGCCTGACCGATACCGCCAGTGCCGGAATGAATGAGCACTTTATCACCCTTCTTTATCCGACCGTTATTATATAACGCAATATAGCATGTTGAATATACACATGGCACAGTAGCCGCGTCTTCCAATGACCAATTATTCGGCACTTCCCAACACAAATTTCTGTCAGGTACGATAACATTTGATATGCCTCTGAAAGTATAAACATACCGTTCGTAGAGAAAAAATTCTAGAAAAGTGCATCTAAAATGTTTAATATTTAAAAAAATGTCATATCAATTAACAATAATTAATACATTTTTGAAAAATTTTATGCACATCGAAGATGTTACATATATAGATGTATTAATAAACTTTAAAAAATATATTTACTTATATATTATAAAAAAATATATACTTTTATATTACCATGTTACATATAATAATATCTCTCTTTCTAAATGATGATAATAAAATATTTATTTACTATATAACTTTGCAAATATAAATATAATAATAATATTACTTATTGCTGCACAGTCCCATCACACGATGGCCAGTTGTATCGATACCACAAATTCCATGCCGAGGAATGAGTTTTCGAATCGAGTAATCTTCATAGTATTTTCAAAAAGAAGTTTTCCTGTGGCGATCATGATGTCTTTAAAATTGAGAGAAGCATATACTATGTAGACTATATCTTTTTCATTCTCAGGATGTATAGGGCCTTCAATCCAACGAAGAGAACTTATGTCACCATGTATCTATTTTTTCATGAATAGATATTATACGAAAATAGAATAATTATAATATAAAATGAATACAAAACAATATAGAGTATCATTTTTGACAGCAACATAGAAATCATGTTGTCATGGAGTTTTAAAAAAATACATCAGATAAAAGTTATGGGGGAGATGATTATATGATTATAATATTGATTCATTCGCGTACAAAGCTGTCGATATTTTTTTACAGTCGCCATTTTTTTAAATGGAATCATATATCTTCTGTTAAGTAAAATGATTTCCTCCTATCACTTTGGATATAAAAATATATTCAGATAAAATTATTAGGAAGTCAATATTTGCAAGATATTTCATACTTTACTCTAATGTATTCTAACATAATATGTAAAATATTATAAAATATAAAAGTATAAAATAAAAAAGTATAAAATAATAAGACCAATAAGTATAGAGAAATCATATAGTCGTTCTTAAGAAAGAATGTACTTACATATTGTTACTTGCATAATTTTTTTAAATCAATTATATATCTTTTTCATCATCAATTGATTTGTATCATATATGCATAAAAAATAAATAGCTTTAGAAATATTTTATACTTTAACCTAGAATAAAGTATAAAATATTCTATTATATATTATTGATTTCTTATAGCTGTGCCTTAATATTTTTATATTTTAATATTTTTATAAAATAACTAGAAGAATAATATTACGTAACAAACATAATATATAATTCTATTTAAAAAAATGGCGATCATAAAAAAATATCGACAATGGCTTCATCTTTAAATGAATCAATATCATGTGGCTCTCTCAAAACTATATTTTTGTGTGATAAATTTTTTTCTGAAACTTTACGATTTTCAGATGACCATCAAAAATAAAACAGAACTTTCTTTATATATCTTTAAAATGTATATTTAGTTAAATGTTGCTGTCGAATATATTTTTTTATTTCATATATATTCGTATATAAGTTTATATATCTATATATATGAATTTTTTATATATGTAAAAAATTCATTTCAAACTTTGGTCAAATAAATTTAAAAATATCTTTTATATATGTGTATGCATGCGTAGAAAAGTCTAGCAATTTCACACGAAACGCACACACAAGCACACGCAAACATATTTATATTTAGAACTATAGCATATTTTCTTATATATTATTATATACCATTTGTGTAACATATCCATGATCGACAAGTTTCAACTGTGGACTTGGCAGTGGTTGATGTCTATAGGTTCCCCATACTTTTCCTGGTCTTAATACATTGATCGGCAAGTTCAACTGAAGTTGCTCCAAATACAATGAGTCCTGCAGGGAAAACTTGGGAGCATCGATATCTTGTATCATAACACTTCTAATAATTTCTCCACCTGGTTCCTTTCTTAAACAATTCACGAAGCCTAGCAAACCACTTTCTAAGTCTCCCTCACTGACAAGTATTATTCTCATGTCGGTAGTTTCATATTCTACATCCATGATTGAATTCAGTTTTTCGAGCCAAGTGAATTCATTGTTATTAATGTAGATAATTTCCGTTTTCCTGATTGGTTGCTCTTTTTTCTTTAAAAGTATAATATTCTCTTCGCCAATATTCTTCTCTAGAATCACATCTAACTCGTATTTCGAAAATGTTGGAAGATTTTCAAGCCCAGATATTTCCCGTGTTAGTATAAAACCACCCTTTCTTAGTTTCGGTAGAATCTGCTCCAAATGGCCTCTTTTATTTCGCGTTAACAGTCCGATACCAATAACGAGCAAAACATTATCTTCGTCGAACAATTTATTTTTCGTGAAAATTACGTTCGATAATGAGCTGTCATTAAAATGATGTGAAGCAGACAGATATACATTCGCTTGAATTAATGGCAAATCATCTAAAATCTTAGTAAGCATAGGTGACGCCAATTTATCTACTGTCACATTATCGCAAACATCGATCAACTCTACGATTTTCACATAAACGGCTTGATGACATTCCAGGGCGATATGAATGGACAATCTGATCGCCTCATTCAGGGATACTCGCGCTTGATCACGATGTGCCACGAATTTATATTCTTCCAGGACTGGATCATTGGTTGACAGCCGGCGAGGTATGGCCGTAAGTCTAACATCACAAATTTCGATTCCGCCTGATATTACGGTCTTCCATTCTTCATATAGATGTACAGGGAATTCTGTAATAACAAAACACTAGTGCTTGCAAAGCGTTTACATATATGTAATATCATTTAGTCTAAATTTAATTGTAATTAAACTTAATTGTAATTAACGTCCTACAAGCCATACAAGCAAACTTTGTGAAACAAATATTCTCAAACTTGAGGAATAAGATATAAAAACTCACGTCTACCTTTTACATTAAACTTCTGGATTTCCTGCTGATGAAGCTTGGTATCGATGACAATTTTTCGTATTTTCGTAGGCACATAAAGATTTCTCGTATCCATTCTAAGAATCAGCATCTGCATCATACTGTCGAGGAATGTTACCCAATTACCGGTCCAAGCAATATGTCCCTTCTTTTTTGAGATGGATGCGCTTTTTAAGGACCGGAACGGGCCTAAATATTCGTAACCGCGTAATTTTAACTCTTTGTAAATGTCTTGAGTATTCATTACTTCTTCTTCACAGTCATCTTTTGGTAAAAGCGTAACGGGTATCTTTTCTTGCACGGGATTCTTTATGACTCGAATGATTCCAGTTACAACCGGAGTATTATCTTCCGACACTTCAAATCTTCCAGTGCCTACAGAAAAATTATTATTGTAAGAAATTAAAATATTAAAATTGACATAATACACAAATCCATAACAGAAAAATTATTATGAAAAAGTGTTATATTGAATGTACTTTCATTCATCTTAAAATATAAAAAAAAAATTATTTTAATTTTTAAATTAAAAAAGTCGCAGGGTGTATCAAATGTGACGCAGGTGTGAGTATTCACATGAATTCTTCGCGGAACCACGGATGGATAACGCGAACCACGAAAGCTTTTACAGAATTCAGATGAAAGGAATATAAAGACAATCCGCGATTTGTTGTTCTCTATATTGCAGTCGTTTATCAGAATTAATTCCTAAATACTTTACTGTGCTTACGCTATTCTAGTACTTTGACATGTAATTATTAAATTTAAATCCTTTGGATTTATTTTATAGCTGATACATAATATTTCATGCTTTTATAATGAAACTTGTTTATGAAATTAAAATTTGTTTATTTTAAATAAGAGTCAAAACTTATAGGCAAAATAATATGAAATATAAAATGTAACCTAATAATTCAAAAGAGAAATGATAATAATTCTAAAAAAAAGAAAAAAGTGACAACGTCACACGGTGTTCCCAAGCGGTCACCCATCCAAGTACTAACCGTGCCCAACGCTGCTTAACTTCAGTGATCGGACGAGAACTGGTGCTTTCAGCGTGGTATGGACGTTGTCGAATATAGTTGATATACGAACTATTCAAGTGTTTTGACATATAATTATTAAAATTTATCTTATAACCGATACATAATATTTCATGCTTTTCTAATGAAGATCTGTTTATTTTAAATAAAAGTTTTTTAAATAAAAGATCTGTTTATTTTAAATAAAAGTCGAAATATTTATAGGCAAAGTAATATTTGTGAAATATAAAATATAATCAAACAATTTTCTAATAATTCAAAAGAGATCTTTCCAATAATAATGGCTTCATTTGTATCGATTATTTAATATGCATAACAATTAATAGACATATTAAACAATCGATATAAACTAAACGTTAGTATCCCAGATCTTAGATGGTACTAAGTCATCTAAAAATGAAAAGATTTCTAAATTTCTAAAAATAATTTTAATTAATAATTATAGTGTCAAAACAATGTTTAATTTACTTTTATTTTCGAACTTCCTATTTGCGTGATATCAGTTTGGGAACTTGTCTTCACAAAATCATTTCAATCATTAGAAACGACTGAAATAATTTCAAGATGCTGCATTGTATTTTATCCTTACGAGAAATAAAAACCACACAGGTCCGTTATCTTTATTTAACAGCGATGTAGCATATTACTCGCGGATGAGCGAAAGATCTTATTTTTTCGATAAAACGAAAAGATATCTTTTAATGGACTTCTCGCTTTGTCGAAAGGAAAACTATAAAAGATAATGAAACGATGTTTTTTTTTCGTCTTTTTAACAAAATAAAAAAATATTTTACTGAAAGATATCCTATTTTTATTTCAGTTGTCTTTAGAATGTCTTTAAGATACTATACATTTATTTTTTATTCGGAATAATAAATACATCAAGTGACAATATGTTGGCCAACATGTTGACTAGTATGATTGACTTTATTAGACTCAATCCTATATTGCAATGAAGATCTGTGAGATATACTGAAATCATCGTGAATGTACGAAACATATCTCAATTTTCTTAAAATATCATCAGTATATTACAATGAGTAAATTATACAAACATTTCTACGTATAAGATAATAAGGAAATATCTTGGAAATATATGGGAGTATTTTTATAATGTAATATTGGCACTTGATGTATTTCATCATCACAATACTCCATATACTTTGATACGAAGAGAAACAAAAATATACCTTTCTGAACCATCACTGTTAATTGGATTTCACCTTCTTTCGGTAAAGGAGTAGCACGCAAAAAGGTAACATTCTCAAAAATGATAGACAGCTCTGTAAACATTTCCATATGCAGCAAGCCCATACTTTCCCAGACCATAGCAAGATATCCCGTGGCAGGTATTAAGATTTTTCCATCGATAACATGACCACTCATATATTCAATGTCTTTATCTGCTATCGACAGAGTAAATGTTCTTTCTCCGGACGTGATTTTCTTTTGCGTTTTGTATGACATTACATACCAGTCGTCAGAGTGTTCCCATCTTCAAAAAGTACAAATTATTTCGTTTTTATTATCCGAATCTCTCAATAAAGCACAGTAAGATTTGTGAAATAATTTTTGGGCAATTTCTCCTTATTTTCTTGTTAGACACTCCATGAAAAGTGATCAAATAATGATTTAAAGTTTTTATTCGCAGAGCAAAAGTTTCACTTGATTCGTTTTAAATAACTGCATTTGGATGACTCATATATATTTAAATGAATAATTTGTGTTTTATCAAATTTAGATAACAATAAGCTAATTTGGCTGATTATTATCTATACATATATATTTAACTAAATAATTTATATATAGCGGCAAGCCTACCTAACGGAAGGTGAAATCATCGGAGTACCGCGACTAACTGGATACTCGATTGGTGGATAGAGACTAGCGATATCCGGTTGTAGTCCCATGTTGTACAGTTTGCCAATCGCTTGGAGAACAACTTCGGAGTTATCTCTGTGACCACGCTGAGTGAGCGCGATGTTAGTAACTCCCGGACCAAGAGACTTTCTCATAATGGCCTGAAGAAGACCATGTGGTGCAATTTCAATGGTTATAGCATCCTTCGGGATCATACGCGCGGTTTCCTCAAACAGTACGGGATTCAGGAAATTGTTAGTATGGTATTCAGCAGACGATAATTTGGCAGATGCGGTGGACCATTTGTTGTATGGCACGGACGTGCTCATCCATTTTCGACTGCGCGGCTTCGGTTCAGGAATCACCTCGTTTAAGTAAGCCAGAAGTTTCGGTCCGGCAGGTGCGATGTAACGACTGTGATAAGCTATATTACCGCATGGCACCTCCATCGCAAAGATTTTCTTAGCCTGGTCAAATATATACAGTTAAAACAAATATTTTAATAAAAAAACAATTTAGATTTTATTCAGCAATACATGATTAAAAACCAGCATAAAAATCATTGAAAATTTTACATACAAAAGTGTTACGTGTTGTTTTATTTTAATATGCTGAAAATATTTTTAGCGCCTACATTATTGAAATATTCTTTTTAAATCTATATAAATCGATTTCTAAATTTTAGAATTTTTTAGTATTTTTTATAAAAATAAATAGTATATTATAAGAACCTGTAGTTGAGCGACAAAATTTTTCATAGATTCAGCAGGCCCACTAATAGTACTGTTGTCAGAAGCATTATGACAAGCCACTTCAATGTCTGCGGGACACATATCTTTGATATCTTCGTAGCCGAGACCAACAGCTGCCATTGAACCATAAATTACTTCAGTTTCAATAGATGCTAAACCTCTTAAGTATGCAGACAAAATCGACTGTTCGGCGGTGAAACATCCATCTGCGTAAGCACAACCGAGTTCTCCGAAGGAATGACCAATGATGTTATCCGGCACGATACCAATCGACGTGATGAGATCGACCAAACCAATCTATAAGATTTAAATTGTATCAAAATATAACGAAAAATAATAAGAAATACTAGTTGACAAAATTATTACATATATACATTCGTATCAAACTTTCAAATTAACATAATTTCAAAATAAACATAACTCCACGATTGTCTTATAGTCTTTTTTTTATTCTCAAAAGTAACATTTGTATTTTGAAGACAGTATTTGTTAGATTTTAAATTTATCCTTCTGTCATCTTTTCCTCCTTATCATCTTTTCAAGAGTAAAAATATATATATCTTCAAAAAATTTTCATAATTCTATTCTAAGAGCTGGAATAAATTTTCTTATAATAATCATCGTAAAATGTGGAAATTAAAAAAAGAAATAAATTGTACAATTTTTTAATATTTAAATTTAATTTTTAAATAAAAAAATGATTTTTACTTTGCCAATTATTTTTTATTAATCTTTTAGCAAGTAGTTAAAATTACATTTCATAAAATAAAATTTATTGAAAGCAATAAATAAATGTTGTTGCGTAATACGCGACTTACCTGTACTGCTATAATTCCCACGAACGAGTGCAAAATATTATCAAAAATAGATTTGTCTTTGTTTGTTAAAATATTAATGATGTCTACACCGCGCGGTCGCAAGACAGTATCACATTTCTGAATAGCCTTGACAAAGATAGGGAATTTCATCAGTTCGATACCTGTTTGAAATCAAATAAACGAAAAGTGTATTACAGTTAAGATAAAATATAATTTTCGTTCTTAAAAACAAGAAAGTATATTACACAATACCTACCCATGCCGGGCCACTGTGATCCCATACCGGAAAACACAAACCAAATCGGTCTCGCAGCTCCTAAGTAATTTTCTGTTTCTCTCGTGGGATGCTCCGCCGTCTTCGAACCAACTATCGTATATCCTCGATAAAGATGTCCCTGGATATCTTCAGAGTGGATATCATGCAGCAACCGAATATACTCAACATCTACCGCATGTTTCTCAATCTATAAAGAAGAATATAAATTTATAAATATATTTTTTCATAAATTCTAAGTGATAGTAATTATCTCGACAAAATATTTTGCCTTTCGAAGTCTCGTAAAATCTTAGAAAAATGCACGAAGATATATCATAATTTATAATTCCATCGTCAATCTATGGCTAATATTTTTTTTCTCTTCATTTTCTGTTTTTTATATTATTCAATTTTTGTATGATCTCTCGATATCTTCATTTCTTATTTTCTTTACTCACATCGTTTAAGAATACATTAACAGATTCCTCGGTACGTCCAGACACTGTTACGAGTCTCGGTAAATCATCAGATGGTGCTCCTTTATTTAATTTTTCCTTCTCATGGGATTTTAATACGATATGACAGTTGGCGCCGCCAAAACCGAAAGAATTAATACCCACATAACCACCGTTCCAAGGTGTGGATTCAGTGACGACCTTGATCCTGCCATCTTTGAGAGCTTTTATGCCTTCTCGTGGTTGATTGTAATGCAAATTTGCAGGGATCAATCCAGTTTCCATTGCTATTAGTACCTATGACAAACATTACATATTAATAAATTAATACATTATCATTGAATTTCTTCCCTTCTTATCACCACATATACTATTATCTGTTATAACTGTATAAATATATAAAACACAAAAAAGTTGAATAATGTCATACAAGTATTCCCAAACAATCCGTTCAAGTATTAATTGTATGCAACACTGCTTGATTTCAGTGATTGGACAAGAACTAGTATTTTTTTTATTTATAAGTTATTTATTTATAGGATTGTTACAATATTAATTATTTTAGAAATTTACAAAAGAACAAATTTACAAAATTACAAAAAGAAACTAAGAATTTACATGGCGAGTGAAAATTGTATGGTATGGGATTCTTGCCCTTACATTCTGTTACCATATATTAAATTGAATTTATTATATTTGTTATTTAATTTATATATTTAATCTATATGAAAGAATAATAATATTTATCTAATACCTTAATTTAACGATGCTTTTGTTACAATTGTTTAATGATGCTTTGTTACAAAAAAAATGTCTTTGGATATAAAAAATATATCTCTTATAATCTATCTTTTTATAAAAGTAATAACTGAAGTAATAAGTAACAGATATAGAAAAGAACATAATAAATGAACATAAAATGAATAACAGTTCGGATATTTATATCCTTGATTTTAATGTATTTAATATCTTTTCATTTGTCTTATAAATTTAATTTTAATATAAAAGTTAAGAATTATAAATATATATCTTTTAATCGTAACGTGAAACCTATTCACTAAAATCTATTAATTTTTAATATAAATGTTATTATTCACTGTTCCTTATACTCCCTTTTACTTTGATCAATTTTTATGTATAAGAACATATAATCAAAGACCAAATGAGTCTTAATATAAGCTTAGCATTTCTTAGAAAAGGAATTACCTTGGCAATTTGACATAGGCCGGCAGCAGGCTCGGAATGACCTAAATTTGATTTAACAGAGCCGATAAGTAAAGGAGTAGTTCTATCTTTGCAAAGGACTTCCTCGATCGCGTTGACCTCCTCGGGATCACCGGCTTTGGTGCCGGTACCATGACATTCCAGGAAGAATACACTTTTCGGCGACACTCCGCAATCCTCATAGCACTCTCGTAGCAGGATGCCCTGCATCACCCTTGATGGATGCATGATGCCCTGCTCCTTGAAGCCATCGCAATTCGTCTTGCCGTAAACCACCCTGGCGTAGATTCGTTTCGCATGTTTCGCTTTCTGTAGGAATACGACGGCGACCGTTTCGCTGCGAGCGTAGCCATCCGCGTCGTTGTCAAATGATTTAACGCGACCATCAGATGACAAAACCCCTATAATTATCACCGTTATAAAATATATGTAAGCGATTACCCTATTATGATACTTCCAATTAATGAAAATGTTTGTAAAAAGATCATACCTTACAGACATTAACAAAATTGTCACATAAATTTATTTTTCAAATTTCATGTAACTTCAAATGAGCATGATTTCGCGATGAATTGTATTTGAAAGCTTTTTGATTTGTTCTCAAGATTAAGATCTATTTAAGAAACATTTGCTAAATTTATTCTTCCTCTCTCTCGCCTTTCAAAAGTAAAGACGCGTTACGCGAGAAAAACGCGAGAAAAACGCTGATTGGCTGATATATTAATATGGCC